TTTCACCCCATGTTAAACCATCACTGGATGTAAAAGACACATTTTGGAACATCAATAAGGTATACTGCCACCATGAACCCAAGAGACGAACTGGCAAATTGTCCACAAGGACATTTTTCATAATATGTAACATCTGTATTATGCGTTGCTCTGTCTACAGTATCAGGAGGACTAAAATATGTTTGTATAGTCCAGTTAAGAGTATATGTTGATCTTGCATATATATATATATATATGTATTTTTATAGACACCAACTCGTCTATCATAATGGTATATTTGTCTTGCCCAAAACACAGAAATAAATACCATTAGCTTCAACAACTTTTTCTCCACTACCCATCCAATTATTTTAAACCGTGATGATACAGGAAGATCAACATAGGTTACAACCAGAGTATTTTTATACTGTAATTGTACGTGCAGCTACTCTAACGGCACCATGATAATCTTTTGGGTTTTATGTCCCAATAGAATTTGTAGACTTTTTAGTATCTATTGTTGGAAGTAGTTTTTTTCCATTGTCTAATACTCGTGTTGTTGTATATTCATCACTTTTATTATGCATCTATATAGTATAATCACAAAAGGAATGTGAACAGAGCAACAAAAAAGTTCGTTTACAGCTGTAGCAACATCGTCTATATATATATATATATACCTGGACCCTCCAAAGTACCTTCGAAAATGGGACATTCCCCCATAAAGACAGGTACTTGTACCCATTTTCTGAGGTACTTTGAGACTCCAGGTATATATGATTGATGTCACGTCGGCGGTTGGACCATCATGGGTCGTTGACGTCATGACTTCGGTCGTCATCGACGGAGGTTGTGACGTTGATGTTTATTCGGTCGTGACGTTGGACGATCATCGTCAGGTAGGTGCAGTTGATAGTCGTCGTTGGATGCCTGGTCGTCGTATGATGTTAGGCCGTCTGTTGACGTCCTTGACGTTAAGCTAGTAAGGTTGACGTTGAGGACCTGATCTGTGATTGCAGCAGGGAAGAGACCAGAAACTGGCCTCGTCCAGTTTGAGGAGTCCTTAGTGCGAAATTGTCCTGAACCCCAGCATGTTGCAGCAAAAAACACAGGCGGCCCGACTGCTCAGTGGAAGATGCACTCATGCCAAAACTGAACTTCTGCCAACACAACTGAAAGGCACGTTTTTCAACCCCAAACATGTGGGCATTCTGATGACAACTCCTATACTGCACCTCTTTGAGTGACCAAGCCCCACCAGTTCATCCCCACTCGCTCTGTCAGTGGATGGCATAGTGGCATAGACCCCGGGAGCCTTTTAACTTCGGATGACGGGTTTCCCGTGGATGAGCACTGAGTGAGATTGATTCCTGGCCTTGGCACGGCATATCCATTGCTCATACGACACCGGCCCCCGCTGCTGAGATTTCGGATGCAGGCGGTCTCATGGGCGATCCGCTGTCACGCCGTATGCGGCCACTGCAAGTTCTCCGACGACGTCCGATCCGCGCCCACTGCCTGGCCCGGTCCGAAATGGACCAAGCTTCTTGACTTCTTGGGAGAGACTTGCGGTGGAAGCCCTCTTAGGTTAGAGGCCATCGCTCTTGGGCTGGAGGCCATCGCTCTCAGGTAGGAGGCCATCGCTCTTAGGTAGGAG